CCGCGGAGCGGCAGCGGTCACGTGGCCCGCTCGATGCGCTCGGCGCTCGCCGGCGCTGCCGACGCTCGGTGTTCGGCTCCCCCCGGCGGCCGGTGTGTGAGCGGAGGGACCCCCGGTCCGTCGGTCCGTCCGTGTCCGTCCCCTCCACCGCCGGCGACATGTCCACCGCCATGAACTTCGGCACCAAAAGCTTCAAACCGCGGCCGCCGGACAAGGGTGCCTTCCCGCTGGATCACTTCGGTGCGGTAACGCGGGCCTGGCCTCCCCGCGGCCTAGCGCCGGGCCTTCCCCCCCGCCTCCCCTCACCTCTCCGCGGGCCGGGTCGGGGGGACGCGGGCCCGGGGCCGCCGTCCGAGCCCCGCGGTAGCGCGGTCCTCGCTGTCTCTTTCAGGGGAGTGCAGCGCTTTCAAGGAGCGGTTCATGGAGTGCCTCCGCCAGAGCGGCTACGAGAGCGGGGCCTGCCGGCAGCGCGCCATGGCCTACCTGGAGTGCCGCATGGAGAGGCAAGTGGGAGTCCGGCCCCGGCCCGGCGGCGGAGGGGGGGTGTGAGGGGCAGCCGGGTGGCCCCCGGGGTGGGGAAGCAGCGGGGCTGCCTTTGCGGCGAGGGGAAGGGAACCCGCAGCGGAGGCGTTCGTGCGGGAGGCTCGTGTCCTTGTAAGGAGCGGGTGTCCTTTGCGGCTTCAGCAGTTTACTTGGCTTATGTTTTTGGTGGGGTGTAGATATCCTGCCCGAAGGGTGGGGTAACTGCGAGACTTAGCCAGCTTCCAGTGTCCACAACCGGCTTTCTCAAATGTGAAGCTTTATTTTTTCTTTTTTTTCTAGCTATAGTTACGAGTTCCTCAGTTCAAGGGAAAAAAGCGTTGGTGGTTGGTTTTCTAGGGATGTTTCCATTCTTGCATTGCTTTGCAATGCTTTCTGTTCAGTGGCGAGTCAGGGAGCTCACTGGGAAATGCATGAAGGACGTTATTAAGTGCACTTAAATACAAGGACGCTTGCACACGCTGCATGGGCTGCTGGTGAGAAAGGCTGCAAATCAAAAACCGTTTGAAAGTTACTACAGCAAAGTATGGCAGCACCACAAATGCTGTTCCAAACCACATTCACTTAAAAATGTGGTAAATGGCACGGGTAGAATCTTAGGAAGCTCTTATGTGGTCTGTTAATTAAAGATAACCAAGAGTCAGGTTAGTTTCTGAGGAAACTCTTATTCAATATCTAATATTGGGAAACGACAGATTTAATTGGAAAACTGCTGTTAAGAAAAAAAAGTATCCCTGAATGTTGCTTTCCCAAAACTGAAGCTTCTGAGGCTTTGCCAAACGGCAGTTGCTCTGTATGCATGTCTTGGATTTCTTTAGAGTAAATAATATTACATGAAAGAGAAAATGCTGCTGTTCTCTTGCTTATAAACTGTGTTCTGCATAATGCTTTTGTTGTTTTATTGTTTTTAACTTAGGCAACTTATGGCAAATGAACCACTGGAAAAATTGGGATTTAAAGATCTGATAGATGAGAAATCAGAAGCAAAACCTGAAAAGTTGTAATGAAGACAGACAACTTCACTCCTCATGTATGGAAAGCATAACTCTTGTGTAGTACATATTGTACGTTCTGTTGCAATAGGAAGAGTTTCCTGAAGGAACCTTTTTTCAAAGTTTAGTTTTCTTAAAATAAGATATTTCTTTAAAATGAGCAAAAGTACTGCCTTTGTCTACTTTCTTCAAGTATCTCTTAACTTTTTTCTTTTAGTTTCTCTAGCCTACTCTTAAAGATCCATAAGAAAATTTTGCCTCAGAGTAAGCAATTATTGCCTGAAGTGTTCTCCATGTCTCTGTACGAACAGCGAAGTCTTATTTTAAAAAGACAAAAACCCCCAAACCCTTTATTGTGTAGATCTTGAAGTATAGATTAATCTTATGGGGGCATTACTAATATGCTTACAGCAATTACTTGTCAGGTGGAAATAAAGCTATTGTGGTACTTGCAAATTGCTTTTTATTAAATATGGGTATTAATCCCCATCTTTGGGGTGATCTCCTCCTCACCCTGCTATAGAAAACACTTGGGTACTGGGGTGGGGTTTTTTTCAGTCCTTTAACCTTCATCATTGTTGGGAGAGTATTTCTAGTTCCAGACACAAGTCATGTAGTGATTCTGCTTTTATTTACCATGCCAACAGTGTTCGCCTAACTTTATTTCATCATTTAACTGGGAATCTTTCATTATGAATATATTAATTTCTCCAAGTAGAGCTGCCATATGTTTTTTTAATATCTTTGTGGGGAAATCAGTGTGGAGAGAAGAATGGTATTTATTTGCATTCTAAGCAACTGTGAAATGTACTTATTAATGTGATTGGACAGTTTTATTCTTCTAAAAACAAATATTTTATGTTAAAAAACAGAGTAGATCAAGAGTTAGCTATCTAAGAAATATAGTATTTCTTTCCAAAACACACAGCTGCAGCCCATACATTGAGAAGGTAATGTGGCAGGCCATACAGTAGGTGAGTTATCAGGTCTGAGTATGTCTTAAGATCCCTGATAGGTGTTGTATAACTTCATCCTGAATTTTCAGAGCCCAGTGGCATTTCTAAGATACACTAATGCAAATGAGTCTTTCTTAATTAATACTGAGTTCAAGCCAAAATAATTCAGCCTGTTAGCCCCCTAGAAATATGTTTCAAGCAGACAATACATTTGTAAATCCTCTGCATGTATTTTCCACTGTATTTCCTGTCCTGTCCCCCCTGCTTCTTTTTTTTTTCTTCTTTTTTTTTTAACCCAGTGAATCATTTCTCTGTGTATCTGGCTCTCAAACGGCAAGCTTTAGGGTCAGAGCCTACAGATAGTGATACACGCACTGTTTGCCAAAGCAGTTCTTCTGCACTTTCTCCTTTATTTGGTGTCCTCTGTTTGATACATCTCACCTTTCCTGCTGTCTGCTATTATTCCTTTTGCTCCTGCTTCTCTCCACTGTGCATCTGTTCACACAGAGATGCAGGAAAGGATAAAAGAATGTTTTCTTCTCTTCATAATGATGGTTGCAGCTGGGATTTAAATTGTTGCTCAGGTCTAATCTGATTGAACAGGCTGCACATAGTTCAGAGCGGGTTCGTGTTTGAAAAGAATGTTCGCTTGCTGCTGCATATTTTTATTCTACTTCATTCTACTGTTTAAATTATATCCTTTGGTGAGATTACTACATTTATAGAAAAGAAAGCAGAGATTTTATTGCTGAAACAGATATTAAAAGACTTCATATTAAACCACTGAACAAGAGCTTCCTTTCAGTGATACCAAGTAAGAATTATTAAAATAATCTCCAGCATCTTCGGAAGAAAGAAATCAAATTTCATGCTTCTGTGCTCCCTGAATATTAGAAGGTGAAGTGAATCCCTGGTAGGTATGAAAGAACCCACCGGTGGTGGCAGAGTAATCCGGGCTGTTGCCAGTGGTAGTTTCATCTTTTGGGTGTTACTCTGCACTGTTGTTTGGCCAAACAATTACTTCAAGAGTTAGATGCATGTTTTTCCTGAGACGGTTGATACCAGCTCTGTCCTCCAGGTTATAGAGTAAAAGGGGTGAAGTTTTTGAAGTCTTGAGTGAGTGAATTTTGACTGTTGAGCTGGAGTGATAGTTGCCATTTAAATGAAATGTCTCAGATTACACACTGAAGGAGGGACCACTGGGGACTCTGTTTATAGTGACCAAGGCCCAAATTTTGGACCTGCTGCAGGAGGGATGGTGGGGAAAAAAGCGGTTTCAAAAAACATGGCATGCTGAAGTGAACAGTGCTCTGTGCTACTTGTAGCCTGGAGTCCTCCTGTAGCGTTACAGCGATGTAGCCAGCAGGACCCTGCGTAGCACAGACTTGACTGCTGCTGAGCCACCAGAATGGCCAGAGCACACTTCATCCTTCACAAAATAACTACAGAAATAATAATTGCCACCCTAATAGGGAATGCTGGGGTGAGGGTTTTGCACCTTTCACCAACCCAAAGAAGAGAACATCCTCATTCTGTCCAGATCCATGGGCGTGTTTCATCCTGCCTCCCAGCATGGTGAGTGAGCTTCACAGCCCTGTTCCCTTCATGCCAGAACAAGAAAAGGGCTGTGAGCGGATAGTTGAAAACTCAGGGAACTGGCAGAGGCACATACTTCCTGGCTGTAAGGCATTAGCTGGAGAAGAGAACGTTTAGTGGAGCTGTAAGGTGAGCTCAGGGCTGGTGAGGGCCATCAGTTGATCATGATTGAGATCTAATGTAACTGAGAAGCGGTGGAAAAACAAGTCATTAATGCTGAGCCTGGGGTCAAACAATTTTCCCAACTTGCTCTATGGGACAAGTCCGTGCAACACCGGAGTCATCTGGGAGAAGAGAATTCCCAGTATGCTCTTCAGTTTATTCCTGCCAACATACAGTTGGTTAATTAAAGCCTTCCCATTTAAAACCTCTTTATTTTAGCTTTGCTTGTGGTATCCAGGTTTGTGCTCCCGGTGTATAAGGCAAAGGAAAGCTGTACGTTTGTAGGTATCTCTCCTGTTCCTGTACCAAGGAGGAACCTTTCCAGAAGCCTGACGCCCAGTTGGGAAAATCTGTATTCTGGAAAGGCTGAGCTGAGGCGTGTGTGCTGTGTGGGAGGTGGTTTGTCAGGGGCATTGATTTCTTTATGGAGCTGTTTGGAGTTGATGAGCTGCTCTGCTGCGTGTGGCACCGGGAGCAAGGTAAGTCCCACACAAGTGCATTAATCTTCATGTGAGAAGCCTGCCTGCGTGCTGCCTCCACCCGCACTGCCACAAAGCACCACCTGCTGACAGACCCTGGGAGCTGGAGAAATGCAAACAGTTGCGAAACAAGGTTTGGCTTGGATTGATGTACAAACTGCCGGCCTGGATGTAACTGTACAGGTGTGGAAGGGATAGCCCGAAGCGGGAGAAAGTGTTGACTGTGTTGGAGTGAAGAGCTATGTAAGTTGTTAACACAGTAATAGAAATCAATAAGCAAGGGAGTTGCAATTGTCTTTCCTGTAGCTTTTCTTTGGCAAAGCCTCGTTCACACCATGACTCTAGGCACCCTGCTGCTTGGGATCCTGTCCCGGGGAGTCCCCGGAGGGCTCCGGGTCAGCAGAACTTTGCATGTTGGCACTTAGGAGAGCTTTGCCCACACGTTTCCCCTTTCTTTGCTCAGATTGGAATCCATTCAACCGCAAAGAGCTTAACCTTGATCGCTGCATTTATTTACAGAGAGAACATTGCTGCAAGCCAACCGTCGTTATGTCTTCGTGGGAGACTTTGAGCTCTAGGTGTATCTCTCCAAACAACTGCAATGACCTGCAGAACGAGGAAGAAAGGGTTTAATAAATATTTCCAAAGCTCTGGGTGTTCTTTCATAGAAAAGCCTACACAAAGAGAGCCTCCTGTGCTTGCGCTGGAAGTGGGCCATGGTCCAAAGTCCTTTGTAGGAGCACAATGAGCCTGAGCCTCTGTGCTAAGGTAGGATTGTTGCTGCGTCTGCCACATGGAAGTGGGATACCTGGTGTAGTAGAAGGGTCGCATCTCTCAGCACCTGTAAAGTGAGTGTTTGGGGTTGAGCACAGTTGCAGGCAGGGAATGGGTGTAGCCAGCTGACCTTCATGCTTGGTCCTCTTCCAAAGCATTCTCCCCAATTTGTCCTGCCAGCTTCAAGGCCATGGTGAGTAGTCGCCCGCTTGGTTTCCTTTGGAGACTAGAGTTGTTGGCCTTTGCTGGTGATTAATTGCCCTTTGTGGCAGCAATCAAAATAGCTTTCACTTACTGCTGCTTTTGTAGGCTCGGCTTAACCAGCGCTAACTGTGGGAGGAACTAGATCAGCTAGAGCACCTCTTGAGTTTCACCCCGTTGTTATCTCACTCCAAGCAGGCCTGGAGAGCACTGGGAGGCAATGCCATTTCCAGTAAGCTGCTGGAACTAAACCTTAGATATTTGAGGCTATGAGAGAAGGAGCAGCTTGCTCCCCATGCAAAAACTGTCTGTAGCATCACTTATTGCTGTAGGCTCTGAAAGGTGCCTTGAGGGTTCTGGTTCCACTGGAGAGCAGTATGTTTCTACATTTCTCTTCCATGATTCCTGGGAAGGGAATGATGTATCCGCTACTAGGCAATAGTGCAGTCATTTCTGGTAGCGTATCCAGTGACCCCAGAGGACTTTAGTTACTTTTCTGCCTGGAGGAGATCCCTTCTGGAAGAGATCCTTCTGCTAAATTGGGAACATTGCATATTCTATCAGGTTTCCCACAAAAATCAAAGCTCAAACTCAGATTAATTAAAAAAAGACTGTTTGGAAGGGCACATGCAAGGGTCCATTTCCCCTTCCAGGGTATTTCAATGGAAATTGGATGTCTGATTAATCTTATCCTGGTTCTCTTTTTTCTCTTAATGATTCTGCTTCTGTGAATAGCTGGCAATGCTGCATTTCCGTCAGGATGCAGCAGATTTTCTAGCTTACAGATTTCAGGACAAAATGCCTGCCTTCTGGAATGAAGGTGCCATATGGCTTGAAATGCATAATTGATCACTGCTCAAAATAGGAGCTTCATAGAAAGTCACCTAGAAGTCCAATGTGTGTGTGCAGAGGACTTGATAGACCTTGATGCATTTTTTTTGTTTCCTGGGCCTGATGATGATATAGGAAAGAGGTTTTTATGGCTCTTCCTAGAGGTT